CTGCAGCAACCGATCAACCTCCCGTGATAACGACTCCACAGAGGTCCAATGTCTTTGACCAATCGTGGTGAGCTGGTCAAAGGCCTTATCGGTCGTCGTTTTGTCCAAAAACCGTTCCCTGATCTTCCTAAGGAATTGTTTGAGGTTCAAGGTTTCAGCCCACTCCCCGATGTCATCGAACCCTGCGGCATTGGCTTTGGCCAAAACCCACTGCTTAGCTTCCCCACCAAGACAAGAGGTAGAGAATGCAACCTGGGATTCGGGTTGGACAGGGGCCGTACTACAGTACGTCTGAATCTCTGCGATCCATAAAAGCATATTTTTGTCTTTCTTATTACAAAACGTGAAAGGCAATTTCGTTTTAACTTTTTCTTTACTCTTTGGTTTCTCCGGCGCAGTTACTTTGTCCTGTGGCTTCGGAGAAGGAGACTTTGAAGGTGGAGAGCAAGGAGAGGAGCTGGGAGAAGAAGACGGCGGACTCGAAGGCTCCCCTTTCTTTGTTTCTGGTTTCTCTTCTGTCTTCTTTGTTTCTACCTTGAGAGACTTCATGGCGTCTCCCATAAGTTTCTCTGTCTTTTCAGTCTTTTCTTCCTTGACTTTTTATTTTCCCTTGACCAAATTTATGATTATCCGAAGCCCTGAGGCCACATCATCAATTTGTGATTGCATCCGTTCTCCAAACTGATCGATTTTCACTTCCAGATGGGCAAGGTAATTCACAAGTTGAGCCAAAGAAATCTCTTGTTCTTCCCCTTCGGTTTTTACAACAGTTTGTCTAATCTCTTGAACTTTTTGTTCTTGCTGTTCAATCTTTCTCTTTCTCAATTCTTCCTTTTCTTTTCTCTTTCTAGTGCTTCTTAAAGTTGTCTGATATTCTCATCCATGATTTCTTTAGACAACCTTTTCTTCTTCTTCTTTCTGTTCAGCAAGCTTGGAGAACTGATCCATGATATACTTATCAAGTGTCTGACAACACTTGTCAGACACTTGATAAATATATCCTGAACCTGAATGACGTCGGTGTCAGTCACTGCCGATTCAATAGCATCATGTAATGCTCTTAAATCGAAGAGGCTCCTGACATGGGCCTCAGCCTCAGCACCTGCATCATGAAGTTCATAAATCAATCTGTCCCGACGGGCAATCAAGACTTGTTTTCGCTGTTTCACTTGCTGCTTAGTCCCGGGGTCAGGAGTCTCCTCATCCACAGCAAACATGAGTGAGACTGGGTAGAAAAGAAGTGGGATGAAACGTGTGAGCACCGACAATTTCAGAGAATTCCGGAGGAAAGACATCGTGACGTGCGTCTGCCGCACAATAAATACTTAATTAACGATAATAAATTCCACGGCCGCATCGATCTACCACAGCAAGATTTCAAATACACGAAAAAAAAGAATCGGAAACAATTATTTCTATTTTTAAACTATTGTTGTTCTTTGTCTGTCCGTGTGATGATGTCCTAAGCAAGAGTGTACAAGTATCGCGTCAGGCCCGTGTGATCAGACACAACACACAAGTAAGTACGCAAACACCACACACAGCAACAACAGGTAAGTATGCCAACAACAATCACAAACAGTTTGTCAGCAACCTTCGTCAGTCTGCTATGTCTTCTTGATGTCAGTGCGATCACGCACTCCCCTGGACAGCTGGCACTACAACTGTGCAATTCGTCCAGTCAGCTGTACCGCCGTCGTCTTTAGAGTGCACCTCTTACTTGGCAGTATCCTGCCTGCCACGTGTCATCCCTGGAGTACCAACATAGCAATGTTGCCACGTCAGCACTCTGTCCAGTCTATGAATAATGGGATGCCACGTCAGCAAATGTGTAGTCCGATCCTTATCACGTGCCTCTTCCAAATGTCAAGTGAGATACCGTCGCCGTTCTAGCCAATCAGATTATGCCTCGTCAGCCAAGGAGTTCAATGCCACGTCAACAGGCAGACACCACCTCATGAGACAAGTGTGATGACCTGCTCATGCCACGTCAGCAATTAATCTTTTCTCCAGGCCACATCAGCATCTGCAGTAGACCCTGTCGTGTCAACAGCACAAGGAGTGCCACATCAGCAATCAACATGGTCTTCAGACGCAGCACGATGTGTGCCACGTCAGCAGGGGATCGCGATGCCACGTCACTATCGCGATCCGGGCTGGCGTGCGTGATGCGATCCCTACTGCCACGTCAGCAGCCTGGTAGGGATGTCTTCTCGCCAGCAGAGCCTGTACTTCGTCAGCTGCTCCGGTCAGGTCTTCTCGCCAGTGAATCTGTACTTCGTCAGCAATCCCCGACAATGTCTTCTCGCCAAAGAGGTATGTACCACGTCAATATCCCCAGCGTATCCCTTGCCATGTCATCACCTACTCAACCTTACTTACCTGCGCGCCACCTGGCGCATACCACACACTAATGTCGTCGTCAGGAGATTAGCTCCGATACCAAATTGTAATGAACCCAGATCGTGAGACAGTTGTCAACAATGCAAGTCCAGATAAATGTCCATCAGCTGATGATTATTCATAGTCCAACTCGTAACCAGACAGAATGAGGTGAGGTAATCATACACAGACGAAGAGAGGGGAGGGAGAAAGACAAAGGAGAGGAAGTATAATGCCCACTCCTGCTTCGGGCTCCCTCCTCTACTGCCACCTCAACAATCAATAGTCTAAACGAGCATCCGAGTATCCTAAATGTGCCATGTGGCACGTCTAATCAGTTCCACATCAGCGTCTGGAGCAATGTCGACATGAAGACCATCAGGTATGTATCCTCGAACTCTCCACAGTCCTGATCTCCTCCTGAAGTGACGACGAAACAGAACAGCAATGCCGATCATGTAGTCCTCGCAATAGAACACATGGACAGCAGCCACGTCAGCCAAATGAAATACGTGGCAGCAGCCACATCAGCGAAGGCGCATGGCAGCTGCCATGTCAGCATGCCAAGAAGACAGGAGCAAGCCGGCCACCATGCCGAACTAGCAGCGCCTCGCCAAGTTACAATGCCAGCAGCACCGAGCCAGCGTCGCAGCGTCGAGCCAGCGTCGAAGTCAACGCGTGAAGTCATCATCAACGCAAGACAGAATGAATGTCAAAGCCAGGAAGTCAACTCTTATGTAGTGTTGACGCGGGGTCTGGACCCCGGTTGCTGTATCCCTCGGCCGTCCAGATCTCAATGCGAATGAGGGCTCAGATCGGCCTGAAACCGAATTCCCTCCGGCCTGGATGCTGTCTGGGTACCTGCGCACAACAAGTGAGTGTATCCATCCCAGGGCCTAGGTGTGGTACCTTTGACTCTACAGTTGACTTTGACTCTTGAATTTCCTGTGTGCAGCGTTCGGTCACCCAGCCACACTCGACAGACTCAGGCCTGGGCGTGTCTTGGTCACACAGCCCAGCGCAGACCTTCTCAGGTCTGCGTGGCCTGGGGCTGAGTTCTGGGGCCCAGGCTACTTCTGAACAGGGTTATTACAGAGGTGTTATTGCGTATGTTCTGGTCTGTCTGAAAATGGTGTCTGACGCATTGATGCTACTCTCCTCATTTGACATAGTCTTCCCCTACCTTCCACTGTTGGATGCATCTGCCCAATGTCGAATCCGTGTACTGCAGTTGAAGAGTAGATGCTGCTTGTAGAGTCCGGTTTAGAATTCCCTACCTTCCACTACTGGATGTATCTGTCCCATGCCTACGAACATTTTTTGTCGGCCTTTTGCTGCGGGGAACGTCACTCCTGCTTTGTCTCTTCTTCAAGGTGGGCCGACACGGTTTGTCGGAGCTGTGCGGGTACGAGTAATGATGTATCATATCTTGCGCGCCTCGGAGTCCACACACACACACACACTCGTGTGCTCACACAAAACCACACATGCACCAGCGCGCGCACCTGCCCATGGCCCTGGCCGCCGCCCCCCCCCACACACTCTTAGCGCTGCCAAGGTCTCACGTTCATTCCCCCAATCCACTTCCCCCCCCACCCTCTACCCCCTCCCCAGTATTTGCGTTCTTTTACCACACTCAACACATTGGCAGGCAACAATTTTGTTCATCATGAAGTTCGCAAGAGGTAGTGATCTTGGCACACAGTTAGCCTCCTGTTTTTTCCCTCTATGCGGTCTCACATCATCCAAGTGCTAGATGCATTGGGGTGGTTGAATATGCTTGTTAAGATAACATGGCATCAACAGATGCCCTTGCTTTTCCTCTCTGTGCATTGGTGAGAGAGGCTCTCGCCTTTTCATGCAGATCTGTGACACATTGCCATAAAAATTGCCGTAATTGTCATGTCTTTTGTTTATGATATGCCCATTATTGCCGTACGTTGTCCCACAGGCTTCCCATTATTAACATATGTTGTTCCAGCGACTATTGACCATTCAAGTTTGGTTTTTGGTTCCTTGCCATTTTTCCATAGGTTCCACTTACGAACCCATGCGGGTCTGATCCCTGCCTGGTTGATGAAGAAAATGCTTTGTCTACAGCCCACAACTATTCAACAGTGCGTCTTCCCTTTCCATTCGTTCCTCTGCCCTGATCTCTCCCCACTGACAGCCCAGGAAACAAATAACAAACCACAGCTGTCACATAACCAAATGTGGTTAAGAGACAGACATACCCTGCTCTTTAGTGCTGAGGAGGGCATTACAGGATCTTGGTTTCTTTGTGTGTCCGTGCATGCGTGTGTGGCCATGTACCGGGGGGCCGGGGGGTTGGGGAAGGGGGAAGGGGGTTAAATTCCTTTGGAAAAATGGATCATCGTCGTGTGAAGGATAAGGTGATTGCATCCTGGTTCTGGCACAAGACACATGAAAAGATTTTTGTTGGCTTTGCAAGTTACTCTGCTTCCAATTTATGTTTCCCAACTCACTTCGATTTGGCTGATGTAAACACTACGGTTGCGCAGGTGAATTGTTTACTCAAAACGAACCTCTTTGGCTTTCTTGTAAAGGCCACCAAAAAAATAAGGCAGAAGTTGATCATTAACCATTGTTCAACTGAC